GATGGATAAAAAGCCCAAATATCAGTCTGATATGGGTAAGCACAGCTGGATTGTGATACAGTGAAAATAAGATGGACAAAATGTAAATTGAGAACTTGTTTTAAATCATGACAAAACTGACAAACAGTAGTATTTACAGCAGAATATATCCCTAGGGAAAGTGGCAAAAGTTCCCTGACAAACAATGGACAAAGCAAAGCTTTGCTCATTGTATGATATGGGAAAGTATGGCATTGACAGAGATGCTTAAGATAAAGGGTTTTTAATTTGCTTTCAGTGGTTGTGCTTAAGGTTCAAATACAGAAGTAATCAAATGGGTGATGAAAAACGAAGACTTACTTGAACTTTGCAAACACAAGAAACAGTATAACAGTATAAACAGGAAAGAAAAATTGATCAGGAAGGCAACTTCACACTCATTTATAATTACTGTTCTCTTTACTGAAAGATGCACACAGATTTGGATTTGGCCTTTGATTTAGCTGTGGCCTGTACTTTTAATTTAGGAGGTGGTAGAGATATTCATCACTTTGCTTCCTTTGCAAATCTTTTACAAGGTGCAAGAAACAGAATATTTCCAAATAACCGGATGTATGTCCCATGTTAAGTTTTATTTCTTCCCCCGCTGTAAATCCTGCCTCTTCTTATACAACTGTTCTTACTGTGGAGCTACTGCATATCTATTCTGCAGGAATAGGACATGTCCCAGTTCTTTCCTACAGGATTTGTACTTACCAGATCACATATCATGGTGGGTTACATATGTTCAGTGGGATTACCTTTTCTAGGAAATGATGGTGTGATGGCCATAGGAGATATGGCTTGTTGCTAGAAGCCCTCAATAGACGGCATGGAAAGCAGTCTCTGTTACAGATCATCTAATGACTGTTTCTCTCACCTATTTGTTTCAAGTAACTCCTATTTCTTCTTCAAACGTGCATTTTAAACTGATAGAAATTTCTAAGCCCTGCCTGCAAAGTAAGTTCCTGTGCATCAGTGGCACCATTTTGTCAGTAATCCTCCTAGCAGGGCAGGGAAGCTCTCCAGCTCTTCAGGTGATGGCAGTAGCTTAAAAAAAAAAAAAAAAAAAAGGCTGCAGTCTCTAAAGTGGGGCGTAGCTTTGTGCAAAAAAGACAAGGGTTTTTCTTAGATGCCAGGAAGTGCCAGAAGTGAGGGTGCTGACCTGTGCATTTCTGAGGCTAAATACCACCAGGGTAACCTGGGACTTGCTCTTCCATTTCACTGGTGTCTGCAATTGCAGCTCTCGCTGCGTGCAAGAGCCAGACCAGCTTTCCAGCATGAGCAGAGATCTCTAACTCAGTCCTGACAGGGTCTTCAATATTTGCTTACTTTTTAATTTATTTCCCAAGCCAAAGTGCTGTCAAACCAGAACCCACTTAACACTGAATGAGATTTGATACACTCACACTGCCCTTCTTCTCTTGCTGCGTTTTCCTAAACCTGCTGCTGTACGTTGCAAGTGAGTGTAGGTCCCAACAGGCTTCAGGAGAGCATGGATGATCTCAAACGTGCTTTAGGAAATGAAGCCTGATTATGTACCCAGAATGGAAATGAATATGTCCCACTAGTTTGGGCTTTTCTTTGGCTGTGAGGGCTATAAGCAGGTTGCAAAGAAACCTTCAGTAACTTTTGAAGCGTAAATAATCAAAGCTGCATCTATACCTGGCAAAAAAAAAAAAAAAGGTGTGAGCAGGTGTGGCTTTCAGGCAACAGAGGTTAAGATTCAGTTATTAGTAGTTAGATGTTCTACAGTGGCCAGTTTAATGGTTAATCTGTCTCCCTTCCAATGAGGAATCGTTTATATTAAAAATCCAGCATTCAGATTCTCACAGTCATGCTGGTAAAACCACAGAAAGTTTTGATCAGAATTTTCAACTCTATTTTTTAAAAAGAATTAAGGAAGTGCGGCTGATAATGGATTTGGAAATATCCATTTGTGAAAGAGAGAGTGACTGGAAAGCAATAACAAGATCCTTGATGATAGCATAAGATTTATTTTTTTAGGACATCTACCTTGTGTTTCTGGAAAATGAAACTAAATAATGATGTGAATGAAAGGATTGTGCTTTAAAAAAATTCCACTTTAATTTCCATCTACCTTTTCCAATCCTTTAATTACAATTTTCAAGCTTTACATGTATGCAATACAGAAGGTTATTCCTTTGTTCTGTAGAATGAAATTGTGTGTACATTCCACTTGTTGGGAAAATAAAGCTTATTAAAAGACTTGATGTAATTACAGTACCTTAGAATAGGCGTATTAAGGATTAACAGGCAAAAGACAAGGGTATTATTGTCATGAAGTTTTGCTACATTTCTCTTCATTAAAGCCTGAGATAGTTAATTTTGGAGATAACTTGCATCTTTTACAACATTTTTAAGTTGAACAATGAATGACAATTCAAAATTGTGGCTCACTGATTATTTTAAAGTTAATTTTGCCTTGTTCCATATTCTCTGTGACTATATCAAAGCAAATGTTGCTAGAAAAGTTTGAGGAGACACAGACTGTGACAGGCACAAATGAAGGGAAATGCTACAAACCTGAAAATCACACTTGTTTCTTCTTAGGGATTCTTTCAAGTAATTTTTAAGTCAGCAACAGATCCATGATTTGAGAGTACATTTTTGATATATTAGCAGTATGGAAGCTAACTGCATCTAAGACTAGTTTCCAGAAGCAATAATGTGTTAACTTTAGAGGGGAAAAGTTCAATATTTAAAATAGAAGGGAGCTCTCCTGCCTTTTTAACAGCTGCTTTCATATATGTAACACAAAATGTCCTCCTTTTACTTGTTCTGGTTTTTGCATATGGAGTCTTCTACACATACACAGGACAGCAAGATAAATACATTACCATATAGAAGTTCTTAGACAAAAAATGCAGAATTTGGTGTAGCATATCTTTCTTGTCTAAGTACAAAAATTAAGTAGAAAAAATAGTTTTAAAGGTCAGTGGTTTATGGAACATGTCCAAAGGAAAAGGAATGACAAAAATTTTGAAATCTCAATTAACTTATCATCATGACAGCTTTTTTTCATTGTGCATATTTCTGTTACTTCTAGCAGAAAAAGGAAGTACTCATTGGGAATTTTGTCTGAAGGGAATGCAAAAGTTGCGTTTGTGGAATGCACTGTAGCTTACCAAACCTAGCAGGGTCACCTGTGGAAGGTGTTCAGTCCACACAAGTCACAGAATATTATGTATGTACAGAGGTAGAAGACTTGAACTGCGTTATCGTTTGATATCTTGTGATAGAAATAAATCAGCAGTCAACTACACCTTCTTTTCCCTCAGCCTTTCAATAAGAAATGTATGGCTTTTTATTGCTCTATGAAAGTATTTCAGCATGTAAGTGAAAATATATCCTCCATTAAAGTGAAGCAATTCACACTGTGTAGGGTATTGATGTGTATTTTACGACTTTATGGGCAGCATAGAGCTTTTCTCAAGAATTCAGTATTTTGCAATGGCTCCTTTAAAAGATTAAAGGCAAAATGATTCAGAGATTTCTACAGCCCTGTTGCCACTTGTTCCAGTCCTTCAGATACAGAGGAATCTCAGCACCAAGCCACTGCAGTTTGGAGATGTGCATGTAAACTAACTCCTGGATAGGACAGATACTGAGATTTTAAAATCTCAGTCCAAATCCATTACTATAAAGCTCTAGACATCCAAATGTTGTGAATATGCTTGTTTATAGCAGGCATATGTACATAGTGTCCTCTTCTGCCCCGAGTCAGCCAAATTGTTCGAGTCTAACGAAACTCCCATTGCAAAACCCAGTGAAATTACCTTTCTCTCATGTTGTTTTGATGTTAAACATTTCCTGCATCCATCTTTCTTAGCCTGATTGTCCAAAAACTTGCTGCTTTGTATGTTTTCTGAAAGTGCCAATGTGGGGATGCCACGTTTCTTTTTTTCCCTGAAATCTTATCTTGCTTTCCTATGGGTATTATGAGGAGTGGAAGCCCCCATTTTGCATAAGACACGAGGAGCAGGAACATATTGCTTTAAAAGCAGAAAAATGCAGACATTTTACAATTGCATAATCTAACTTTTTTTCTTTATTATTCCAGTCCAGACTTTCTGCACATCAATTTCTTTGCCTTCCCTCCCTTAATTAATATTCCGTTTATGCGGGAACTATTCTCAGTATCAGATCCAAGCAATGCAGAATCCTACAAATGCATTGCTCTATAGCAATCCCTGTGGAGCTTTAACTAGGACCTCCAGGTTGTCTGTTTGCCTCTCCAGCAGATGGGCACATACAGAGGAAAGCATATATTCCAGGAAGGAAGTTTGCATCACCCTGTTGATTAGGGATATCTGAATACTAATTTGATTTGCATTATAGATGACCTTGGTGAGAGTAAAGTGATGCACAAATTGAACTGTGCAACTGGTTGCTCTGTTTGTGTTCTCTATTTTGCTTGCAGGCATTTCTCTTACAAAATGTGATTGTTCAGTCTTTGAGGAGTTGCAGTACTTTTTGATAAGCTCTGAGAAGCATTAGGGAACCCCTGTGTGTTTGACAGAATACATCTATTCCATGTGGATCCTGCATGTGTAAGGCATGGCATCTATGCAGAGCTAATGCATTGCTCATTAGAACTTCCTATATTGCAGGATGGAGTTCCAGCAAAACTGCAAGAGAGACATCTGTATGTCTTTGTTTTCAAACCTTCCTGAAAAAGGGATCATACATGAGGATTGTAGCTTAGATGAATGCATAATTTATGACACTTTATAATTGTTATAAAGGTGCTTCAGCCTAAATAAATCCAGAGAAGTGTTGCTCCATATATCATTAAATGTACTGCTTCTGTAACATTCCAGTGTTCCACCTGGTGACCAATTCTCTTTCAAGCAGAGGCAGTCTTGTATAAGCCCACTTTTGCCTGGATTACTTATATTGCACATTGATAGGTATGTGCTAGTGTGTTAACTCTGTCTTCTGTGGATTTTATGGGTGTAATGTCTGTGTATAATCTGCACACTCTAAATGGTGCCTGTGTATTACCTCTCATCCTTTCCATTGATCTCCAGGCTATCCGATGCACTCTCGTGAACTGTAGTTGTCAGTGTTTCAAACCTGGGAAAATAAATCAGCGACAATGTGACCAGTGCCGGCATGGATGGGTAGCACATGGTAATACTTGTTTTTACAATCTATAGAAAACCATTTAGGATCCTCCTCCCTATAACATGCTTTTTGTGTCACCCCCTCAACCCACCCACTGCAATATTAGTTGCATTTAACTTTACCTCTCTCTCGTGACTCGAGTTTATTTATATTTCGTGATTTTTATTTTCAGCCCTGAGCAAATTAAGGATTCCCAACCTCTACCCATCAAGCCAAGTAGAAATAGTCCAATCCAATGTTGTCTTTGATATCAGTAGCCTCATGTTGTACGGAACCCAAGCCATTCCTGTGCGCCTTAAAATTCTGCTAGATCGGCTTTTCAGTGTTCTGAAGCAGGAAGAGGTCATACAGATCCTCCATGCTCTGGACTGGACACTGCAGGATTATATACGTGGATATGTGCTACAGGTATTTAGAGGGGCTTTTTTAATATAAATATGATAGTTAAGTAGTTTCTCTAGTCTTAATCTTCTTAGTGGTTCACAATGTGTTAACAATTTGGCACAGCTGAAAGGGAGTAATAGAGCTGTACAAGCTTAATGCCAGAAAAGAAAGGGTGCAATTTTGGCCATTGGTCTCTCTTCTTAGTTGGACTTAATTGAAATCTTCCTACTTGCTCAAATCTATCAACAAAGGTAAGCAAGGATAAAAAGAAAAAGTTACTGGGAATGTATCAAAGTAAAGGCTTCAGAATTTTCTCCAATCTTATTTAAACAGTGAGTTTGCCTTTATACAGCAGAATAATACATCAAGAAATAAACTTGCCATCATCTTAAACACCAGGGACAATATTCATGTCTGGTGTAGTGCTACTGACCTTACTGGAGCTACAGCAAGGATGTACTTGGGCCTATTGCTTACACTGATGTTAGTCCTTGCTGCTCTGGAAGTTACCTTTTATGTAAAGTAACATTATGATCTTACATTATGACACGAATCAATATTTAATGGTCTTGATAATCTTGCTTTTTAGTGTTAGGATTAAAAATATGGAATCAATTACCTTGAACCTCTACCACATGAAAAATTTATAATGTTACGTTCTTCATCATCTTAGAAACTCTTACATGCACTGTGAAAAATCTCAGTAGGCCATCAAATACATGTTCTGTGATAAAATATTTATTGTAGTTATTGGGAAAAGTTAGGCATAGCTAGAGTTTGAAAGAACTCCAACACTAGTGTAATTACAGCTGTGCTCTGTGAACACTGGCAATAGATCAATACAGGTTCATTTGTTCTCTGATCTTAGTTGCTTGGAAGATTATTAAACTTGCAATGAAAGAATACTTGACTTAAATGAGGAGCTAAATCTTGGTCTGATTGCTCCATCTCTGCTGTCTGTACTTACAGGATACTAACTGTTGTTCAAATAACGTGTCTTAATTTTTGTGGAAAAAAAGGAGTTTATTGAAAGGTATTACTGTCAGGTCAGAAAGAAATAATACCACCAAAGTGGTAACATTTGGAAGAAATTATCACAGAATTGGCATTAATCTCTTTAAATGGAATGTTGTTATCATTTTGTTAGAGAAGAAATTTTATTCCCTGAAAAAATGAGAGATTTGAGGGGAGGTGTTTTTCATTTGCCTTAACTGACTCATTTAAATATTTTTGGCTTTAGGATGCTTCAGGAAAGGTGCTGGATCACTGGAGCATAATGACCACTGAAGAAGAACTGGCTACTTTGCAGCAGTTTCTTCGCTTTGGAGAAACTAAGTCCATTGTAGAGTTAATGGCAATTCAAGAGAAAGAAGGGCAATCAATTATAATACCACCACCAACTGCCAATTTGGATATTAGGGCATTCATTGAGAGCTGCAATCCACACAGCCCTAATTTTTCTGCTTCCTTGGACAAAATGAGTCCCACCAACATTCATCCCTTTGAGAATATTGTCAATAACATGGCTTTCATGCTGCCCTTTCAGTTTTTCAGTCCAGTGCCTCCACCTTTGATAGGTTCACCACCAGAAAGACATTTGATTGAGCAAGGTCAAGACCATAGCAATGAAACCAAACAAGATCTTCAGATACCATTTTCTGAAAGCAGCTTCTTAACTTCTAGTTCTGCACCATTTCAAGTTGAAAATGAGAGGAGCATAAACGGTCCAGATGTCACTAAAACAGAAGATGATGCCCTTTTAAGTGATTCCAGTTCACATAATACAGCAGCAAAGCTTGAAATGACAGCACTATCTCCAGAAAACAAAATTAAATCTGTTGAAAAAAATGGTGCTGGGCCAAGGAAAGGGCGTGTTTTCTGCACTGCATGTGAAAAGACATTTTATGACAAAGGTACTCTGAAAATACATTACAATGCAGTTCATCTGAAGATAAAGCACAAATGCACCATCGAGGGCTGCAATATGGTATTTAGCTCTTTGCGCAGCCGAAATCGTCACAGTGCAAATCCTAACCCCAGACTCCATATGCCGATGAACAGAAATAACAGGGATAAAGATCTAAGAAACAGTTTGAGCATTGCTGGACCTGGAGATAGTAAAAGGACAGAATTTACAATTTTAACTCCGGATAGCAGAACTATTTCCAGCTATGCCAGCTCCTGTACAGATTCAAAAGGTCAGGCTGGATTTTCCAGTATTGGACACAATGGTGTCCTCTTTCCAAACCTGAAGACAGTACAGCCTGTTCTTCCTTTTTACCGTAGTCCAGTCACACCAGCTGAGCTTGCTAATACTCCAGGTACTCTGCCTTCTCTGCCTCTTGTTTCTTCCTCGATACCAGAGCAGCTTGTTTCAAATGAATTGCCCTTTGACATGCTCCCCAAGAAGAAGTCTCGTAAGTCGAGCATGCCCATCAAGATAGAGAAAGAAGCTGTTGAGACACCTCACGAAAGCAGCGATGTCGCCAGTTCTGAAGATGACACACGTCTGCAAGTGGTAAGCGATGGAGAGCTTGAGACCTGTGAGCATAAGATAGAGAAGCGAGTGGCCGACAGGGTGGAAAAGCACCCCCATTCAGGTAATTCATGGAAATCTCTCTCTGGGGTAGAGGGCCCAAAGTATTTTGAATCTGTCTTTGCGCCAAATAACAAATACATCGAGGATATCTCTGAGAATGAATTGCAACACTGTGAGAAAGAGGTTAAACCAGAAGAAAACCAACCATTAAAAGTAGTTTCCCATGAGATTATATATGAAGATCCAAAACACCACCACAGTGATGTTATAAAACCAATGACTGAACCCCCCATGTATATTAAAGAGCAGTCAAAGCACAGGATTCCTAAAAATGACTGCCCTGAATTGCAACACCACTTGCTGACCGGGGGCTTTTTCAGCACTTTGTCAAACAGGGGTGCTGCCATTCCTTGTTTTGAAGACTCTAAAGATATGGATCATGTCAGTCAACATGCACTAGGGATTCAGAAGGAAGAAAGCCGCTTTCATTGTGACATCTGTAAGAAGACTTTTAAAAACCCTTACAGTGTAAAAATGCATTTCAAAAATGTACATCTCAAAGAAATGCATATTTGCACAGTTGAGGGCTGTAATGCTGCTTTCCCTTCTCGTAGAAGTCGAGACAGGTAAGAAAACTATAAACAAAATTGTATTTATTTTACCATCACAATGGAGCCTAATTTGAAATTAAAATGAGTGTTTGAGGAATGGAACCTACAAATATTTTCTGTGTATCCTCATATAACAGGTATGATAACTTATCAGAACATTCATAAAATGAAAATCCATTGAAAGAAACATTTCCTTTCCAGTAGACTACGAGGTATTAAATAAAGCCATGAAAATTTCATAACTGATAAAGACTGCAGTAGTTGAAAGAATACTTTAGAACATAAAGGGAAAGCCACAAGGGTTTGAATTCAGCAATTTTCCAGTAGATGCATGTATGGACTTATATGTTTAATATGTACTTTCATGTGTATTTTAATGTATACAGTGTTCTTTAATGGAAAAGCAATGAGATCAATTCAGGAAATCTTCACTTGCCCTGGTCCTTGCTTTAATCAAGGATTTGCAACAGAATGGTGAGAAAAAGCCTGTAAGAAAAGCAAGATTAGTCTTTGTCAGTACAAAATTAACATTATGCAGTGGTAGTCGAACTAACACTGTCTGGTGTGTATCCACATCAGTATTGCTTTTCTGTGAGATTACATACTAATTCCTAAACTATACCGTGACCTTGATTCAGCTTACTGTTAGCTGCAGTATTGTGTGGCTGCAATTCATTTTATTTCGGCCTGTTATGCACATAGGCTGAGAAACAAGAACTGACATTTTATTGTTGACCCTCAGTTGTGTACCTGAACCGGTCAGTGAGAGGTAACAAATCTATTGAAATGCAACCAAAGTGGTGTAAGTTTTCCAGCTCTCTCTAAGGGTGTTACAGCAGCTTTTGGCTGCAGGAAACACGCCTGGATAGTAGTTCAGAGTGACACAAGGTTTAGATTGTCTGTAATCTGCTAGGAGTGCTGGAGCCAGCTGATGCAGTCCAGAGAGAGGATGGGCTGGTCTCTGAGGACTGGCCGCTGCATCTGAGATGCACAGATTCATCTGCTGCTGGCAGGGCTTCATACCCTGGTCTGCTGCCTGCATCTTCCCAGATGTGAATTCCTCCCCACTGTAATTGTGATATGGGCCACAGGAAAGAAGGCCAGCAGTAAGATTTGCATCCACATGCCACAGATTCCTTCCCACACCAATATATTCAGATAGGCTTTAACATAGGTGCTTTTGGAAGATGGTTTATTAAAGAAAAAAAAAAAGGCAAGCCAACTCAGAAAAAAAGTTCCACAAGCTTTGTACAAAACAATAGTTATTTGGAACAACTTTGCAGAAGTTTCTAGACTTTAACATAGAGTACTGTGACTGCAAGTACAAAATATTTCTGTGCCTTTTTGAACAATTCATGGCTCTGATTAAACCATGATGGCAAGGGGAAAAACAAATATTTTGCCAGTCTTATAATAAACTCAATCTTCTAGACAGAGCCTGGAATTTCCCAGTGAGCTGATTGATAGTATTCAGTGAGGAGCAGTGATTTTTGTATGTTTGGTGGTTTTAAACAGAATCCAGAGATGCCCATTTGAAAACTGCAAGTTGCATAAAATTCAATATTCCTTTTTTCAAGGAAATTCCTGTCAAGAAAAAGCTCTGTACTGCTGTGTACAGCTGCACGTGGTTACAGTACTTGAGATCATCAACAGGTTTAGCAGATTCAGGTGTTACTCCTTTCCTGTTTTGTCCATTGCAAAAGAGTCTTGTTTCTCACCCCTCTCGGTCCATTCTATGCTCTCAGTTCAATTTGCAGTGTTAAGTCTGTCCCCCAACTCTCTTAGGCCCAGCACTAGATCTAGCAGAGCAGACAGCTGTCCACAATGCAGGAGAGAATCTGAAACATTGATTTCTGGAGTTATTTCTGATTATATGCCAGTGCAAGCAAGTTCAGAAACCCAGTCACATGTAACTCATCCATGTGCACTCCCAGTGTGGCAGTTGGTCAAATCAGAAGTGTACAGTTCATGCATGCTACTAAATATTGATTTTTTTTCTTTATTAATGATCATTATGAAACAGCTGTTAAGTGAGGCGAAACACTTTCTTGCTAAGCTTGTCTTTGTTCTTCTAGACATAGTTCAAACCTAAATCTTCATCATAAGCTTCTGACTAAAGATACACTGGAATTCAACAACCATTTCAATGCAACATACCTCTTGAAAGACATGGCTAAGGAGTTTTGCCAAGATGTCTCTTTAAAACAACATGTTGGACATACTTCTGTAATCTTCAAAGGAATGAACAGAACAGGCAGCTACGTTTTCCCAATGAGCAAAATTAGAGAACCCTGTTCTGAGAGTTATGGATACGATCCATTAAATGATGGAGCTGTTCTGGATCTAAGCACTACTTCCAGCATTAAATCTGAGAGCAGTGCTCATTCTTCTTGGGATTCTGATGGAGGAAGTGAAATATGCACCATGCCCTTGGATGATAGTGATGAAAGCTGTGAAGGACCCAGCCTAATGCCCAATGATGAACTCTACCAAGACTGTACTTTAATTGACAAAGCTAATCAAAACTTTACAAATTTATCTTCCAGTTTGCCAATAACTTGTCATATATGTCAAAAAACATACAGTAATAAAGGAACTTTCAGGGCTCATTACAAAACTGTGCATCTCCGCCAGCTCCACAAATGCAAAGTCCCAGGTTGCAACACAATGTTTTCATCTGTCCGCAGTCGGAACAGGCACAGTCAAAACCCCAATCTCCACAAAAGTCTGGCTGGGTCACCAACTAGCTTACAGTAAGATCAGACTGATCTTAATTTATTTCTGCTAAGAATTAATCATTTCAATTAAGGAATGTGTTAAATTAGTTTTATTTAAACTCATTTGACTTCCAGCCCGCTCGACAACCGCAGTCAAATTCTTTTCTCCTGTGTGTGCTCTCCAGCAGTTTCACTTAGCAAAGCTTGGTGCTGTAGTTTTTGTGCAATTGTTTGGTTTGATGTTGAATAGCTAAAACTTCTGTAAGGAAAAGGGAACATCTTAGAAATGGGGGAAATATGGAGACATTAACTAGAGTATTTCTGATACCTGTGAAGTATTACTTGCCAAAAATAGGAGCTTTAAATGAGGACCATCATCCCTTATGTTTACATGTTAAGTGAGTTGTGGTGTTGTTTAAGGAAAGAGTTAATGATTGAGGTGAGTTTCCTCTGGTTGAGTTGAGAGTTTTGGGGCTACCATTTTGTTCCCGAGACCTTAGTCTGAAGCTGACTTGCAGTATTAGTGGAACATGATATTTGCAGTTTACTGTATCCCAAAATCCAAAAGAGAAAATGCAAATCTGGGAAAACTTTGCATACAGTCCAAATATTCCGAAAATCCTGCAATCCTTACTCCGTAAGTTTCCCTTTCACTTGAATAAAGGTTGCAGTATTTTGGATTTCTTAGAATTTAATGCCATTTACTTTGCAAGAGGAGAGGCTACTTAATTTGGCAGGATTGCCTGAATAAATCTGAGACATTCTGATAAATTATAGTGATAGAAAGAATGAATAGGTTATGCTAAATTTTCTGAATCACAGCAAATGCATCCATAAAACAGGGAAAAATTAAACCCTTTAATTCTTTAATTTAAAATGCACTTTTTGAATTCCACTTTAAGGAAGAGAAGAATTTTTGTTATAAATAGAAAAAAAAAAGCCAGGGTGGGGAACCCAATCAAATATCCAAACTGCTTAAGAGTTTGAAGGTGCAATTTCCAAACCTTTGAAAGGAAGAGATAAAATGGATGCAGTAGATATCTTTTTCATGATTCAGCATTTACTGTTTCTTCTACCAGTGGGGGATAAAACATGTTGATGTTTGTAACAATAGAAGAATGCTTATTCTCATTCACACCTCTTTTTAATAAGAACATTGTTCAATATCTGTCAAAATGTTTCATGTCTTTGTACTTAACCCTGTAACTAACAGTATTCTGCATTATGTTCTATGCACTTAAGAAGACTGGCCTTGCATTGTATTTAAAAAACACTTTAATATTTAATTTGTAGTCACATAACACAAATGCTGTGTGTGTACTTGTGGTGTGTCTTCTTTGACTGATTCATTTCCAAAGAGGAAAAGAAATAAGAGAGCAAGTCTTACAGTACCTTTTTTACTTTAATTCACCAGTGGAAATCTGTTATCAATTCTCGTATGCAAGCATGACATTGACAGCACAATCTGTACATATTATACCAAAGTGCTTACAGTATTTGTGGTTTCTAGAACTAGTCTAGTTTTCCAGTATAACTGGATCTTAAGTCTTTATTCATTTCTGTGACTGAATAAAAATAGACTGAAATTTGGGATTTCATATGTATGTAGAAAGAATAGAACAATGCTATTGCCATATGTCTTGATGTTTAACTTATTCTAAAAAAATACTATGGTATTGTAACCATTTCATATTGTATAAAAGAAACAAAAGTGGACTGAATATTTCACTAATTCTTTTGAAAAGTGGTTTGTGTGTGAGTATGGGTTATGCAAGGAAAAAACCTGACATCGTTGTAAATGTTTGTGCTCACTACAAATGGTTTCCATGCATTGTGTAAAGTAATCTTCTATTTTTTTAATTTACCGTAGGTTTATGTAATATTTAAAATAATTCATTTGTGCTTGAAGCCGTCAGGAAAAGATACTGTCCTGCGGAAAGTTGTGCCATTGCTTTGAGGTTTTGTGTTTTGGGGGGAGTTGGTGTTTTGGGTTTTTTGGGGGGAGTTGGTTGGTGTTTGTTTTGTTGAGGTTTTTTGTTGTCATTTTCTTTGGTTTTTTAATAGAAACTCATATCAGTGGAGGTCACAGTTTGAAAGCTAAGGGCACAATCACAGGGGACACAATTGCTCCCGGCCTTTTGATAGTAAAAATCAATTATTTGTTATCCAGCTATTTCAAGCTCTTTTTTTATATATATATATAAACCTATTTGTTTAATCATAAACTGTGTTTTTTTGAAACAAAATGTGATGTAAACTAATGCTGTAATGCCCATTTATTTAGTTTTCACTGTGTCAAAAAAAGGAAACACATTTGTATACCTTAATAATTTTGTATGTGTTAATAAAAACAAATAATAATGCCTCTGGTTGATTCAGAAGAGTAGGCTTTTGTGATTGAAAATACTACTATTCCTAATTTTTATTTTTAAAAAATATTTTGAAAACACATTCCGTCAGTAGAGAGCACTGTTTTGACAATGGTACTTATTCCGTAATAAGGAAGTGTCATTTTAATGGACCATTAGAAATAATGTAATAAATGTTGCCAGTTATTTTATTGATTTTTTTTTTCTTTTGTGCAGTAGGCAAGGGTAGAGATGAGTTTAAATGCCATCAGCTAAACAGAAGGTAAATGTCTCATCACTGAGAACTACGCTAAAAAAATAGATATTTTGTGCCCCCTTTATCTTTTTTTAAGGTGTTTTTTTTTTTGTAATTTCTCAAAAATCTGGAGAGGATGGCAGATTGCTCAGAGCAGACTAACCCTTAGCACCCCTAGAGCAGCATATGTATCTCATGAAGCGTTTGTGTAGCTCCCTCCTCCTAATGACCACAATGTGGTTGGACCAAGCCTTGACATCTCCTGTTAGTTTTAAATACGTGTGATACTTCTCGCAGCCCGTATCACATATTCACCCCAGATGTTGAATGAAGTAACTTCAGAATAGTAGTACCATTATTTTTGGAGCTTTTCAGAGTCGATCTGGAAAGCTGAAGCAGCTTGCCTGGACTGAGGCTGAGTTCCACAGATGTTTACATCTGCAATCTGTGAGTATGGACAGTTGGAGGCTCAAATCTTTGCATGAGATACAAACTGGGCCTGGACATGCCCACCCTTGTTACCCAAGTATGTTGCTTCATTTTTTTATTTGTATCTTTTTTTTTTTCTTTCTTTCTTTCTTAGAAAACAAGAGCCTCAAAAAGTAGATCCTGTCATCTTTCTGTGACTCCAAGGGAGAAGGCACGGGTGCACACTGCGGGGTAGCCACTCTGTCTGAGCATCCAATGCCTCAGAACACAGGTATTTTGAATAGTTTGTGGTAGCAAGTCTACATCACTCTGCAAAATTAGTGTCATAGTGTTTACCAGGAGTATTTGCAGAAATCTGTTTGGAATGGAGCGTAAGTGATCTGTTTTTATAGCTCCAGTTTTCTGAGCACTTTGAAAAGAACTGTGGTAAAACCAGAGGGTATTGTTTCTAATGAATCTTTACTGAAGTTATACACTGCAGAGCCCCACAAAGTAGAGAAACAAGTTCTGAAAATACCTGTCTGATGCCCTGAATTGAATAGGGAAGCCTAAAAAACAGCTAAACTACTTGGACTTAGTCCAGGGATTTTTAAATAGGGTGCCAGGTCCTCCTTGAAAAGGGTTCACAAGCAACTTCTGATCAGTAAGCACAGATTTAAGAAAAGCAGCTGAACTAAAAACACCTTTGGAGTTTGAGATACAGCCCATAAGGATTCCATTCAGCCTGCAAGTGAGCGTTCATTTCCAAGCTGAAATGAGAGTATTACTCTGAACTGGGAAGGAGACAACAATGCAATAAGAGAGGGAAGGTTGGATCAAAGGTTTTGTTCAGAGCAGCATTTACTGCCTTTGCCCTGGATTTGAGAGGAGGGCAAGACAATATATAAAAGGTAAAGGTTTGAAGTTGGATTAAGTATGCATAGTGTGATCAAGTCAGCTTTGAATGACTTGGAACACTTCTGGAAAACTCTCGACAGATTGCTGGCTAGAGAGATTTGCACGTAACCTCAGCAGGCCTGTTTCTGGAGGTAGACTGGCTTTTCATTTCCCCTTGCCCTCACCCCCCGGCTCCCTGTGCCTTTTGGCACTCCTTGGATTACGTGAAGTTTCTAACTTGCAAATGCACTGTTGAAACATCACCCTGTTAAGCTCCAGTCCTGCCTGCTCCATTCCCTGTGAGCAGCCTTCAGCTCTCACGTGTGTTCTGTAAGCAGGTAAAGGAAAGGTAACGCTGTGAAGTGACAGCCCCTCTCTGGTGAGCACTTCATCTAATTCTGCACCGGTTTAAAGCTTCCCAGAAGCCTTTTGTGTTGTGTCCTTGTAGCTCCTATTCCAAACTGGTAAAACTGACTGTGAATTGCTACCCATTATTGCCTGCAGATGCATGTGTTTAATAAGCAGAGAAGTTGCTTTGCCGAGTGCAGCGTTAAGAGTTTGTTGAACTCATGCTTGCCAAAGTCTCTAGCAAAACTCTCACTGGTTTGGATTGTGAGGAGTACCATATATCAGCATCATTCTACAATTTTTTGAAAGTTTTTTTTTTTCTTTTCAATAAATCAAGGCCAATCCAAACATGTCTTAAGTGTGAGCTGATTCTTTGCTTCAGTCTTTTAAATCTTTGGTCACTAATCTTCTTGTTCTGTAGTTTCTGCTCATTCAGCGTAGGGATTTCCATAGTGTGTTATTTCTGTAATATTGTGGTTATTGTTAGTTCCTGCATCTACCACTCTTTTACAGATTTAAGTAGGGGCAGTCACTGAAGACTACAGTAGTTGCAAGTCTAAGAAACAGGGTTGCACTGAAGAATTAGTTACCACATTTTGGAGAAGGGCTCTGATGTGCTGCTTGAAAAAAGGTCATAGATGCACACACCATGTACTAGAAAAAGCCCAAGCCTTCCATGTCAATATGACTGAGAGAACTCAGTACTTTTGAAGTTTCCCTGCCTTGACTTTTTCAGGTTTTGAGTCAGACTGTAAGTTTCTTAAGGTGTGTAACACATTTCCT